CTCCCAGTGCGGTTGTTGAGGGTGAAGCCCCCACATCTTCCATCTTCCGCTTGCCCCATCAGGTCTACCTCAGTCTGAGGAATCAGGAGAAAAGGCAAGAGCAGGAGCTGCCTTTCCTTCACACTGAGAAAGAAAGTGCGGAGTGAACCATGACTAGAGGAAGCTCTCACAGAAAGGCAGAAGCAAAAGCGATGTTCTTTTGCTCTCTTGGCGGAAGGCCTCCTTCAGCTAGATGCGGCAAGACTGTATTGGCATGGGGCCAACGGACTCGACTACTGGGTGCTGAGACAGACATTAGACCTACCATATAGAAAAGTAGGAGAAGGATGAACACTCAGTAGGTCAGAAGAGACAGAACATTCTAGTTTTGGTAATCAAAGCTGCCAAGGAGTGGGGAAGGTCTGGACCCATGAGATGGCTTGCCTGCTGTCCTTAGTCCATTGTGAACTGCCCGAAAAGGACACCTCTGGCTGAGCAATGTATAACGAGCAGAATTTTATTTGCTTCATGATTCTGAAGTCAAGGAAGTCTCAGGTTGAAGGGACACATTCTTGCAAGGGCTACCTTGCTTTCTTTGTTCCATGCAGGAGCACAGCTCAGCAGAGGGAAGCATGTTTGGTCATGTGGAAGCCCTAAGAGAGGCTATTTCTTTCTGAAAAAGAATGAGAGTGGGAGGGACAGGTACTGGCATGATGAGGTGGGGAGACAGGGATATCTAACTGCTTTGGCCTAGGTGAAGCCCTACACAGAAGCATCGAAGTGGACCGGCACAAAGGGGCTCCCTTCGCAGGCCACAATGATGTGCTTCTGCAGCTGATTGGTCTGGTAGTCGCAATTGGGGTACTTGGAGTTGCCCTTCAGACGGCAGTCGGTGATGGGCAGGGCGGAGTGGCTCTTGTAGCAGTTAGAATTCCCGTTCTTGCAGGTGACATTTTCCTGGGAGCAGACAGCTTGGACATTTGCCAGGGGTTTGTGCACAAAGGTGTTTACAGGCTTGCAGTATCCCTGGGTCATATTGCGGCGCTTCATCATCTGGTTGCAGTAGGTGGGGCTGCTGGAGGAGCCAGATGAGTCCATGTGCTGCCGCTCAAACTTCTGGGCAGAAGTTTCCTTGCCCAGCGAAGGCTGGACCCATCCAAACACCAGGACAAGCAATGGGAGCAGGATGAGGGACTTCTGCAGAGCCATTGTAGCTGCTCTGAGGACCTTGACAAGAAAAGGAAGAGAGAGAACACACTCTCAGAAAAATTGCAGCCTCCACCTCAGCCTCCCCAGCACACTCCCCCCACCTCAGCCTCCCCAGCATACTCCCCTCTCAGGTTCCCCTTCAGCCTCCACTTCAGCCTCCCCAGGACATCCCCTCACCTCAACCTCCACCTCAGCCTCCACCTCAGCCTCCCCAGCACACTCCCTCCACCTCAGCCTCCCCAGGACAATTCCTCTTTGGGTGAGCCTGGAAGATTGCCCTCTGCTGAGAGATCTTGCAAGTACTAACACTGTTTTACTTCATTACTTACTGAAGAGAAGTCATTCTTTTCTCTAGGTGGTGGGCTGTGTCACCTAAATTCTTGGCAGTATTCTGAATATTGGAGTTTCTTTTGTATAAAATACATTAGAAAAATAGAACACATTTGTACACTGTATTCAAATGGCTTGTCAGAAGGTCGTTTTGAATATGTAGTGAGCTAAATTGTATTCCCAAGTCATCCCTGACACCCAGGACTGTGGTTGATAGCTTTACAGTTCAGGAGAACTTGGTCCAGGGCCTGAGGGATTGAGTTGGATTCTACAGGCACGTACTCCCTTTCCCGCCCTGAGTACTCTGTCCTTCCCACCCAATGACTTATACCTGTCTGTGCTCTGCCTTCACCCCGACTCCCTCTGGTTTTTTGCCTGGTCCAGTTTTTCTGAGTTTGTATCAGTCAAAAGTGACTGGTCTCAACTCTCTCAGTTTTAATTCTCAAGCAGAAATAGTCTTTGGGCCACTTACCTAAACTTTGAGCTTGAAGTTCGGGGCAAATTGGAAGCCAGTTTCTGCAGCCACTCAGTCCCTGTGGCGTCGAGCTTAAATGGGTTACAAAGGGGTCGGCTTCCAAGGTAAACAGGCAGAGTAAATCTTGGCCAGTTTTACTTGACTGATAAAAACAAGGGCATCGTAAGCTTGGATGGGAAAAGACCCAGGGCTGCCAAGGAAAGAGAGAACGCCATTTGAGCCTCAGGTGCTGATTCCCAAGGGGTAGCAAGGCAAGCCTCTGGGACAATGGCATGCATGCTCTGCAGTCCTCACAGGAGAGGGAAGCCCCTCGCCATACTGACTGGAAGCAGATTAATGGTAGCCAGGATTCCAGGCCTCCCACCAGTGCTTTTCTTGGGGGAGAAAGAAGGAATAAGCTGTCTGCAGGTGAAGGGCTCTGGTGTTCACTGTGACTCTGGTGGAGCTGTGAGGGCCAAGGTCTAGGTTGTGGCCATTTCACCAAGCCAGGCTCAGACTTTCAAAGAGACAAACAATAGCAAAAAGCAGAGAAATATGGCCAATGTGGCAAATGGGGAAAAGGAACAAATGGAGTCTGGTGACCCTGAGTCCATCTACAGGGTCCTGACACAAACTTTTTAGGCTTACATGGAGGACGAGAGGTATCCATGGATAAGCAATCCGGACCCAAGTGCGGCCCCTCCTATCCCGGAACTATCACTGTCCTGCAAGGTGGTCTGACAAGTTACCTCTCTCCAGGAGACAAGGCTCCCTCTGGCTAGCACAAGACCCCAGCCGGCATTCTCTTTCACCAGCACGAGACTGCTGGGGAGATCATTTTTCTTGTCATCGTTTGTTTTAACAGGTTCAGTTTTTTTATTAAACATGCTAACAAAAGAGGTGTAGTTAAAAAGACCAAAGCCCACGCCATCACCGCGCTCCTCTTCTTTCTTCTTCCTTCTCTGCCTCCTCTTTCTTCTCAGCGAGGTCAGCAACAGTGGAAGGGGCCAAGCAGCCCCCATGCTTCAGGTAAGTCTTCCAATGTTGATACTGGCCAGGGCCTTTGCAGACAATCTGGGCCAGAAGGGTTCCACATTGACACAGTTGTTCCCGCGTCCATCACCTCGCGCAGGATGCGGGAGCGCTCCCAGATGTCGACAACGGTGCCGACTGCCAGCATGGTGCTAGTCGCCAGTTGAAACCCAGTTGAAACGAGAGCCTCACCCCAAAGCCGCCTTAGCATCCTCAAAGCCTCCTTAGCATCCTCAAAGCCAAACACCCTGGCAGCAGCTGAGGAAAACTTGGGGAAATTCTAATTTGTTAGGGTTTGTACAGATAGCTAGAGTTATCTGAAAGGAGGGAACCTCAGTTGAGAAGATGTGGGCGTAAGATCCGACTGGAGGGATTTTCTTTATTAGTGATCCGTGGGAAGGGTAGTGATCCATGGGAAGCCACCCCTGAACTGGTAGTCCCGGGTTCTATAAGAAAGCAGGCTGAGCAAGCCATGATGAATGAAGAGTCCAAGAATAAGAACATAGAAATAAAGGTTTCAGAACTAGGAATGTTGAAATACACAAAGTTGTAAGCCCAAATACATTTTGGGAGGAAAAAAAATAAGATGGCAGCCACTGTTAACCTTTAACAAAAACTTTCTGCCTTGAGAGCAGACACCCTGGCAGCCTCTCCTGCCTCCCGCTTCCCAGCCAGGAGGTCCTGGGGACAAAGGCTGGCTCCTAACTGTTTCCTCTATGGGACCCTCTGCCTGTTTCCCTTAATCTTTAACTGTTTCCTGCGCGACTTTACTCTCTGCCTTGAATTCTTCCAGTGACAATGAAAAGCATCTGTGTCGGCCACAGGCTTCCACAAACATCCTAAGTTAACACTCTAACGTCCTATACCCGAAAGTTGTACAACTTAAAATGTAATGTGACTCTAAGCCTGACCTCAAGGTTACAAAAGCTTGTTGACCCACATCTGGCGCTGGTTTTACTATAAGACGAGGCCCCAAACCAGCCCCCATGGCCACAGCTATGGAAGTCTGATCTCTGGCTGTCGTCATAGCTATAGCTGAGAAGCTTTGTGTGCCCATGGTAACTTCTTTTTCTTTTTCTGTTTGCTTCTGGTGTAATACATTTGCTGGATTGTGTCCCCATCGTTTGTGTGACCCTCCCGGACCCAACAAGGAACAAGGCCATAAGTAGCTCTCCTCCACGGCCTCTGCATCAGCTCCTGTCTCCAGGTCCCTGCCTTGCCTGAGTTCCTCCCCTGACTTCTTGTGCTGATGAACTGTGATGTGAGACTGGTGTCTCACTGCAGCAGCGGGAGCCCTCACTGAGACAGCGTCCATTGTCTCACTAGTCTGGTGATCGACGAGAGGGATAAAACTGTCTTTCTTTGGAATATCTTCCAGATGGTTTGGAAAAGAAAGGGAAGACTGTCTGAGCAGGAAGAGACTTCCCAGGCAAGCTCGGCCACTTCTGGCCACTTCCCACTGTCTTCCACACATGACCTGGAATATTCAATATTATGTTCCTACAGAGCAGAAATAAAGCTAACCAAAGCCACAAATGGTTTTGGAGAATGCAGCTCCCCTCCTCTCCTAGGGAGCCATGTCCTGCCCTGTAAACAGAGGGTTTCTTTGAAGGTTTCTAAGGTGTACAGATGAAAGGGTTTGGAGGACCAAGGCGTGGGAGATGACTCCGTTCGCCTGGACCTGGTGCCATGCAATGGGAAGCTTTAAAAGCCCTACCCGGCCTCACTTTGGGACTGAGTTCTTTGGGGCAGCAGTCTGCTTTTTATTGACCTTGGACTTTTGCACGCCCTGCCTCCACCTCTGAGCGACCTACCACACCTCATTCCCGTGAGGCTAGAGCTGTGCTGGAGACCAGGGCTTCAGGCCTGCAAGGCAAACACTCTATCAACTACACTCCCAGTCCCGGAAGAAAAAATTCTTCAATGAAGAAACTTAAGATTGTTTTTCATGGGTTGCCCAAATAAGTCAACATCCCTAGGATCTAGGGGCCGCTGTAGTGGGAATGATGAAGATCTAATGCGGCAGGAGCCTGGTTTTCGTGTTCCGGTAGCTTATGCACTTCTGCCTGCATAAGCCAAGGGATCGCAAGACTAAAGTGAAGTACACACGACTTAATTGGGTTGCAAAGTAGATTTTTCAAATTAAGAAATCAAATTAGGTCAGTACTCAGATCTGCCTCCCCATTGGTGGGTGGAGAACGGAGAGTCAAATGAGAGACGGGAAGATGCTCGCTAGATGATGGGATAGCAAAGGAGGGGTTCTTTTGTCCCGGGGCAGAGAGCATCGGCACTCTCCACAGGTCACAGGCTTCTTTTGGCACCAATGTATAAACCGAGGATTTCAGTGCCGTATCATAAACTGAGGACGTGGCTGCTCCAAGGACTGGTTGAGGGGAGGTTTTGATGGTAGCTGTGTGAGAGAGAACAGCCAGAGGCATCTGCAAGAGTCCAGAGGAAGAACCAGGTGACCGGACTGGGCCATGAGGTGAGAGAGAGAGGAAGAGAAAGAGAAAACCAAGAGAGAGAGGGCAAAAGAGAGAGAGAGCATGGCCAAAGTGGCCCGGTTACATGAGAATGAACTGGAGACGTTTAAGGAATGGGTGGGGTGAGGAGAGCAGGTGGCTGTAATACCGAGTGATCCTGGAGGTCAACATGCACTCTGATACACCTGAGTGACCCTGGAGGTCAGCATGCACTCTGATACACCTGAGTGACCCTGGAGGTCAGCATGCACTCTGATACACCTGAGTGACTCTGGAGGTCAGCATGTACTCTGATATGCTAATAGGCACACAGACAGCCATTTGTCCCTCCTGACAGTGATGAGGAAATGACTTCTTTGGTAGAGGGAAATGGGTCCCAGAATTTGGGGGAGTAGAGCTTCCTTTGAACCCGACATTCTGGATTTTGAGCCATACCCATTTTTTAAAAGTGTGTGTGTGCGCGCGTGTGCGCGAGCACACGTGCGCATATGAACATGCATGTGTGCATGAGAACAGATGCCCCAAAACTAGGCTCCTCTGTAGTAGAAAGTGACTTCTCCATCTACAAGAGGGTGAAAACCTGACATTTATCTGATTTTGTGTGTTTTGTTTGTTGAGATATAATTTCACTATGTATCCTTAGCTGGCCTGGCCTGAAACTCACTATGTAGACCAGGCTATTCTTTAACTCACAGAGGTTCATCTGTCTGTTTCTGAGACTAAACCATGCACGACCATGTCTGACCATCTTTGATGATGATGATGATGAATGTATTCAAAGGGTACAGTAAAGAAAGCACTGAAATGGTCACTTTATTGGGGGAAGTTTCTTTTTTTATGGATAAGACAGAAAACATACAGAGACATCTGGAAGAATCCTGAAACACACATGATATGGCCGGGACTAGGGAAACAAGACAGCAGTGACCAGCATGAGAAAGAACAGTAGAGATGAGTGTGCTAAAGGGGGAAGAGTAGCTGGGTGGAGGGAAGCCCGTCTGCTGGAGCGTGGGCTGTGATGTGCAGCCAAACGTATATGTCAATGGAAAACCACATGGCCCTTCTGCCAGGGGCAAGGGAAGTGACTCCTTTTGGCACACAGAACTTATTTCATAAGTGCCTTCGGAGTGTTGGCTCTTATCTCCTTCTACAGCCCAGCTTGAACTCATTTCTGGATATATGCACTGCCTGAGGCCTAGCAATGGTGATCTTTACTTGTGTGTCTGTGCACGCCAGAGGGTAAATCTCTGAAGGTGATCAGAAGTCACTATAAAATACCCACATTTAGTCCCTGGTTTGAAAAGACAAGGATGAACAAAGTCTACACAACCCTTCACTTAAAATCCTCCCTGGTGCTCACAGGCAGCTGTTTAGCTATCAAGCAGTACCTAGTGGGTATTTTTGAAGGAGTTTGAACACACCAACTCAAATAAACCACTCTGTCATGCTCACCATTACTGAATTAAAGGCACCTGAAAATCAGCAGGTAAAGAAAGGCATCTGACCTTTCCCAAGAGCAGGCGGTAAATTACCCTGTGTTGGGATAGAAGGAGAAATTCTTACAGGCAGAGCTGCCAGCTGAGGATGAGGAGAATCTACAAAGTCAACCCTGCTAAGGCAGCTCTCGTCTTCCCGTCCCCTTTCCCATGTAGCTGCCTCAGCTCCAACCCCTCTGCTCCTCACAGTGTCCAGTGCTTGCTCTTGCTGAGACTAACGATGATGATTACTGAAGATGATCAGAAGCCACTATAAAAAAAAACCCACGTTTAGTCCCTGATTTTGAAAAGCAAGGAAAATGTTGTGTGTAATGCACCTCGGGTGTGTGGGTTCACGCAGGTCCGTGAACTTGGAGAATGGATTTAGCCTTTGCAGCCACTGGGGTCCTTACCTCAGTGGGGTGGACTGAAGTACTTTCCCTTAGCCCTTTGGCACTTTTATTTTTCGCTAGTGGATTTCCATATCACAAAATAACCTGAATGAAGCTCCCAAAAATACAATGTCAAGTCCAAATACCTGATTCATGAGGTACCACGATTTTCCGGTTTCTCATAACCAAGTTTTTCATAGGCTTTGTATCCATGGGAAACTCTCAGACAAGATTCACATAGGGCAATAAAAGGTACCTGTAACATAAAGGTTGGATTAGGTTGTAATCTCCAGAGCTAGGCCAGGTGTGGTCCAGCGGGGGTTCATGGCTAGCAGGGGTAGCTTGCTCTCCCTGTGTGCCAGGCATCAGGACATTGTACCACAGACAATGTGTGCATGACCCTTCATTCACATCCCTGGTGCTCAACGATGATCCGGTCCATAAACATTCAACTCAAACTCTCTGCCAAGTAGAACTCTCTCCCTCCCCACTCTCTCTATCCGTGTGTGTGTGTGTGTGTGTGTGTGTGTGTGTGTGTGCGTGCGTGCGCGCACTTATCTGACATTTACTGTAGCAACTGAGAAACAAAACTGTTTCCTCCTCTGTGTTGCGTAAATGTCCCCATGAACCTCAGAGGGCTTGATGGAATAGTCCTAAATCAACACTGGTGCAAACTGACAAAGCACTTTTTGTCACAGACAGTCTGTGCAGGAGGGACATGGCCAAGAACTCATCCTTCTGACACCTCTGACAGCTCTCCAGCTCCCGATGTCCAGACAAAACTCTGCACGGCCTGCAGGAACCCTTAAGCTCCTTTGTACAAAGACAGTTCCTTTTTTTTTTTTTTTTCAAACATGTCATAGCAATGCTTGGAGATAACATGCTATTCCCTATCAGGCCCATGCATTTAGAAATTTCACCTCTAATACTGGACTCTACCTTATTGCATGCAGACATGTCAAAATACTGCATGTAATACACCCATCCTGTCACTAACGGTTAAGGCCACCTTTGCCATGACATCGTTCTAAACATTCCCATCATGATTTTCAGCCTGGGAGATTTTGTCTGAGGAGCATCACAGAAAAGCTGCTCTAACAGTAAAAGGATTTGGGGCAAATACAAGAGCTGATTCCCAGTTATGTGTAAGAACTGACCGGTCTAAAGGCATCTAGGGCTGTATAAGGAGAAAGGGAGGGCATCTGGGGGTGAGAGGTAACGGAGGGGATGTAGGGGTGTGAGGGGTAAGGGAGAGGATGTAGGGGTGTGTGGGAACCTGTCCTTCCTGATCCTTGAGGCCAAAATACTGGATGCAAATAATGTTTACGCTAACCAGCTAAGCTTCCTGCTAGTTCTGTCCTTGGTTCTGCTACAGCCTGGTATATTAGCCTGAGGGATCTATTTTACTTTAAAATGGTAATTTCTCAACCTGCCTCAAAGAAGCTCAGGCGCCAAGGCCCATCTAACCTGTCTGACATTGCTTTGTACCCTCGACCACCTGCCTGGGGAAAAACTCCCACAGAGGCCAGTTTCCCCAACCCCCTCTGGGTTGGAGGAGTTTTCCTTTACTGGGGCCAAAGGTATTTTAACCCTGGATTTAGTTGAATAAAGGGGCATTCTCTTCTTGAGGATGACTGGAACTCTGTATCTGTGTGTGTGCGCGCGTCTTATGTTTTAACCCCTAGGACAATATGGAACTCGTGGGATGTGGGTGGCGTGGAAGGACGACCCCCTACAGGGGTGTGAGGAGTAAGGGAGGGATTGCAGGGGTGTGAGGGGTACGGAAGGTGATGCAGGGGTGTGAAGAGTAAGGGAGGGGATGCAGGGATGTGAGGGGTAAGGCAGCAGCTTCAGCAAAGCTGGTCTTTCTCTTGAGGACTCAGCTTCTCCTTTCTGAGGTTCGTTCCTCTCTCATGTCTGCTTTACCCTTCCTACATCCTCCCCTCCCCCCTTCTCTCTCTCCTCTCTCACTCTCTCTTTGCAAAAATTCAGATGGTTTACAGCCCAGTCAACTTGAATCTTCATTCTGACTCTTACTTCCAAGAGTAGGATAGCATGCTTATGTCCTAGTAACAGACTTGATCCACTGAGAAGAACAGAGATTGGCCATTTTCTGTGAAAGAGAGAGAAGCATTTCTGTATCTCCCAAAGCTCTCTAGGAGACCTGATGAGTCTGAGTGAGGCAGGAGGAGTGAGGGGGCCGCACACTTGTAGGCAGGTGAGAAGCAAGAGGTGGATCCCAGTGGTCCTGAAAGAAGCAGACAACCTACTTTGGCATCATGGAGGTTGTCATTCTTCTTGATTACTCCCATTTTAAAGGACTTCCCACGTCTCCTCTTGCCCCTCTCCACCCCTGCATGAGCTATGGTTCAGATGGCCAAGTCCTTGGCGGAGGTCAAGCAGGCACAGTCTACTTTCCAGATGCCCTGTGCCTGTGAGTCCAGCAGGTGCAGACAACAGCCTGGTCTCCAGAACACACAGGACCTTATCTCCTAGCCAGGCCTCTCAGACCTCAGCTTTCTTCAGTCCCAGGCTGGAGGCTCCAAGGGCTGTGAAAGGTTGGTTTCTGCTCTGCTGCCTGGCCTGGCTAGCTCTGGCTGCCTTGGCCACCAGTCTCCTCCTGTGCAGAGGGAAGGCATTTCATCACTTGAGTTCAGAGGTCAATGCTTGTCTTTAGCGTGCTGCGGTTGTTTCGTAAGGCAGTCAAGACATTTCTACACTGGGTTAAATTTTCTGTTTGTCAGCAACATCCATCCAATTGCATGCAGGAACTTGATATTTTTAAATGTACAGTGCCCTGGATCAGTACTTGTCCTTTCAACCCTTTTTCTGTCCAAATTCTCCTGTTTTTGTCACTAAAATTTAATTTAATTGCATGGGTGTTATTTCCAGGAAAGTCCCCTCCACACAGTGCATTTGCTGTAAATGTCCCCAGCTTCCCTCCCTCTGCGTTTGCTTCCTAAGGAAACTCTGGGTTTAGCTCTAGCGCTCACCAAGGTCTAGCTGTACTCTGGTGCACGGAATTCTCAACGTTGGTGAATCTAGCATTCTGAATTTAGCTACTTCTCAGGAGAAACACGAGGTGGCTCCAGGCTGCCAGCACCTCCCCATCGTGCTTTCTCGTGACAATGGCTTCTTTCACACAGAAATCTTTGGAGGTGAGCTGTGCAGCTTTGGACGGAATCGTAGCCACGTTCTCTGGATGGAAATGTTGGCATAGATGGGCAAAATCTCCCTAAAGTGAGTGAAAGACACCTGGGAACAACCAGGTTGAAAGGCAATTTGGTCTGCTGTAATAATGAGAGAGAGAGAGAGAGAGAGAGAGAGAGAGAGAGAGAGGTCATTTTCTTCTGGCATATTGGGTAATATGTCCTCCATTTAGGGAAACTCAGGACCCATATAAGTGGGAAAGGCCGTGTGGTGAATGCGCCTTGTCCTTGGGACTGAAGAAAGCTGAGGTCTGAGAGGCCTGGCTAGGAGATAAGGTCCTGTGTGTTCTGGAGACCAGGCTGTTGTCTGCACCTGCTGGACTCACAGGCACAGGGCAACCATCTGGAAAGTAGACTGTGCCTGCTTGACCTCCGCCAAGGACTTGGCCATCTGAACCATAGCTCATGCAGGGGTGGAGAGGGGCAAGAGGAGACGTGGGAAGTCCTTTAAAATGGGAGTAATCAAGAAGAATGACAACCTCCATGATGCCAAAGTAGGTTGTCTGCTTCTTTCAGGACCACTGGGATCCACCCCTTGCTTCTCACCTGCCTACAAGTGTGCGGTCCCCCTCACTCCTCCTGCCTCACTCAGACTCACAGGTCTCCTCAGAGAGCTTTGGGAGATACAGAAATGCTTCTCTCTCTTTCACAGAAAACATACATGCAGGCAAAACAGAGAAGGAAGGAAGGAAGGAAGGAAGGGGAGGGACAGAGGGAGAGAGATAGGGAGGGAGGGAGGGAGGGAGGGAGGAAGGGAGGGAGGAAGGGAGGAAAGAAGGAAAGGGAAGGGAAGGGAAAGTAAGGGAAGGGAAGGAGGGAGGGAGGAAGGCAGGCAGGCAAACAGCCCCTCAGAAGACAGCTTCTGCAAGCCTCTTTCCTTCCAAGAGGCTCCACATGGTGGCTCCACCAAGGAAGCTGGACTGCGAGGATGGTTGGCAGACATTGAGGTACACACCTTCCGTGTCCTGCTTGCCTTGAGTTCTGCCCTAGGGCCATGACAGGGAACTCGACTGTGATTCTTTTCTTGCAAATGGAAAGGAAGACACCATCAAGGGAGAAGCCATGATGTCAGGGAGTCTATGCAGAGTTCAGCCTGTCTAGTTTGGAGGACGGGTCTCATGGCAACCCACGGTGGATCCTTCCATCTTGGCCTACTGTGGGGCCTCCGTTGGGCTCATTTCCTCATTTCCTCCCTGATGGTGATTCCCACCTCTCTAAAAGGCCAGTTTTTAGCTGCTGCTATGTGATCTACCTCTTCTGTCTAAGTCAAATCTCAAAATCTCTTTCTCTCTCCCCCACCTCCTGTTAAAATATAGGTTTGAGCCGGGCAATGGTGGCGCACGCCTTTAATCCCAGCACTCAAGTGAGTCTGAGGCCAGTCTGGTCTACAGAGCAAGTTCCAGGACAGGCTCCAAAGCTACACAGACAAATCCTGTCTTGAAAAAAACAAAAACAAAAATGAAACAAAACAGGTTTTCAGTCACAATAAGATAGACCAACCACCACTCTGAATGGAGTTTCTGGACAGGGTGAAACTCTACTCTTGCTGAGAGGGAACTCTGCTCTTGCTGAGAGGTGCGCTTGGTTTTTGCTCTAAGCCAGGTGGTGACTGTCAAGATAGGACAACAGCTGCAGACCATCCTCACTTTAGCGAGTTTTCAAAGCATCATCTGCACAGAGGAAATGAAGGGGAGGGGAAGGAGCCAGCAAAGTTTTCAGAATGCAGCTGGGCCTTTGGGTAAACAAAGGTTTTGCTGGGTTTGAGGGTGGAGAACATTTGCATTAAAGTCTTTAAAGCTGAGGGAGATTTGAAAACATTTTTTCTTTTTTAATTTCTTGTCATCAACTCATTTTATGGTGTTTGGTGGAAATGGTTGGTGTCTCTCACACTCCCTCCCTCTTCCCCTCCTTCCTTCCTTCCCTGTCTTTTTCTTCTTCCTGTGTTTATTTCTAATCCCCCAAGCTGGAATGCAGAGCTCAACAGGGCTCTGGGTTTCTCAGCTGAGCAGAAGGAGGTGTCCCACATAGACCAAACTGGTTCACGTGGTCTTTGTCAGAGGGTCCTGTAGTGACCTGCCAAGCCACGTGTTCTCTCTGTGCCTGAGTATTGTCTTCTGCAACCGTGTGCAGCCCTTCAGCTACCCCACGCTACGCTGTCTTCAGAGACAAACTGAACAGAGACAACCTCTAAGATTATCCTCAAACATTGTTTGAAAGGAAGATATTTGGTATCACTTCTGTGTTAGGTTTGGAGTTATTTTTGTTTGTCTGGGTGTCTGTTTGCTGTCTGGGGCATACTAGGTGAGTCTCTATCACAGAACTACACTGCCAGCCCCAAGGTTTTCTTCTACCTCTTTCTCTCAGCTATGGTGCTGGACCTCAGCGGTAGCCTGAAGTGACAAGGCAAAGGAAGGGGGCAAATCATGGGAAGGCAAGGAAATAATGGACAAAGACGTGTTAGTAAGGGCTAGCCTTTGACAAGCCTCCAGGCACTGTTGGGAACATGTGACGTCCTGAGTGAGTGTGTGTTTACCTGAGCCTCAGACCTATGGGAACAGTGGAACCATTGATCTCTAGCTAAAAGCCACTGCATTCAGAAATTATTGGGCATAGCTTCTTCCTCCAAGATGACTGTTCCCCCCAAGATTACATGGCTTCCTTCCTCAGCTGTGTTTCCAGGTTGTTGCTGGTGCGCCTCTGTCAGCGTGCACTGCCGACTTTATACCAGCTTCAACGTGCATGCATCTGTGCACCTGATCTTTCTTCAGTTCCTCATCGCCCAACCTGGTTGCCAGGAGCAGGCTGTGCAGGTCAAAGCAGGGCATGTCTGTGAGGGAGCCACTGCATTGGGTTGAGGTAAAGACTCAACTCCTCGCCAGGGTGGTACCATCTCATGGGCATAAAAAGGAGGAAACCGAGGGAGGCCACCAGCATCTGTTTCCTGACTGTGGACGCCAAGTGACTAGCCGCCTAAAACTCTTGCCATCAGACATGCCCAGAGGTTCTGACAGTTTTGTGCATTAGTATATCACTTACCTGTATGAGTAGAGAGGGTACAAACAGCTGACACCAGCGTTCAGTACTGAGCTGGCAGAGGAAGAAGTAGAGCAGGGGATGCAAATAGAAGGGGTAATGGATGTGATGAGGTGGGAGCAAGGAGGCGGTTTGGGCTAAAGGCAGAACAAAACGAGAGAGAAAAAGAAATGCAGCTAGATAGCGCAGAACAACCCTTCTCTCAGGGGACGGAGACACAGGGACGCTGAGGACCAGAGCCGCTGTGTTCTTTGGGACAGAAAAGGAGAAAGGAAAGAATAAGGAAAAAGGGGAGGGTGGACAAGGGCAGAGGTGTAGAGAGGTGTCCTGCTGAACTGACCTTGTTAGTCAAGGACAGAGGATGTTCAAGCAGAGAGTGCTGGGCGTGCTCCCTGAGCTGGGTGTCTCCTGGCTCTGAGCTGAGGTCAAATCACTGATGGTCATCACACTCTGCACAGGGCTTCTGGAGACCCCTGTTGCGTGTTACGCCTGCATGGTGGAGGTACTGTGTGAGGTGTGCCCTGCCACCACAGGTCAGGCTGTGGCTCAGGCCCCAGCCCTCTGCACTCCCTCCAGTTCCCTTCAGACTCTGGTCGACTTATTCATGTGACCGCTTACTGTATAATTTTCTCACAGCCTTGACAGTTCTGTTGGCAAGGCTTCAGAGTCTGATACTGTGACACTTGTCCAAGTTCCTCAGGAGTGCTGTTTGTGGAGAAACTGAGGTCACACCTGTTAAGGTTTTCGTCTCTTTAAGAAACAAGCTATGCCCACTCCTGGCAACCCCTACCTCCTCCCACCATCTTAAATCTCTCTCTGTCCCCTCTTCTCGCGTGCGCATCTCTCTCTCGGGCCGTTCTCTGTCTCTTTCCTTCTTCCCCTCTTTTCCTTCTTCCCCCACATTCTCTCTCTCCTTTAAGTAATAAATATCCAGTTCTATCCTATGTGATATGTCTGCCCATGTGCCTTCCTTCTACCCACTGCCTGCTCACACCGCCGGCATGGCAGGACCAGCCTGCCCAGCTGCTCGCCTCGCTGGGACCAGCAACTGCTCTGGGGATCTTGCAGGGACCCGCAGCCGGCTCTGTCTGGGACTGGCTGCTTCCAGAGCCTGCTGCCTGCCTACTGCCACCGGGGACCCGCCAGCATTTTTTTTAAGATTTATTTATTTATTATGTATACAGTATTGTGTCTGCCTGCTGGCCAGAAGAGGGTACCAGATCTCATTTTACAGATGGTTGTGAGTCACCATGTGGTTGCTGGGAATTGAACTCAGGACCTTTGGAAGAGCAGGCAGTGCTCTTAACCACTGAGCCATCTCTCCAGCCCCCCTGCCAGCATTTTTAAAAAATCATAAAAGCACCTAACCCCAGTTCAACAGGGGATGAATTGAAATTAAAATGGTTTCTCACAAGAACTCCAATGTTGTGGAATAAATATTTGTTTAATTATATAAAGGTATATTGTTTTTGTTTATGATGCATTTGTTTAACTATGTAAAGATGATTGCTATTTCACCTTGCCTGCCTGAGGTACCTGATTGGTCTAATAAAAAGCTGAACGACCAATAGACTGGCAGAGGAGAGATAGGCGGGGCTGGTAGGCAGAGATAAAAGGGGAGCCAGCCAGCTGGGGGGAGGTACAGCCAACCAGGACCCAGGCAGCCAGACATGAAGTGAGCAGGACAGCAGGATGGACAGTAAGTATGTAGACAAGGTCAATGAGCCTTAGGACAGCACATAGATTAATAGAAGTGGGCTAACTTAAGTTTAAACAGCTAGCTAGAAATAAGCCTAAGCTAAAGTCAAGCATCCATAATTAACACTAAGTCTCCATGTCATGATTTGGAAGCTGGCGGTCCAACAAAGCCTCAAGTAGGTGCTGGATAGAGAGGATTTTCCCAGCATCTTTCCTACTCCTTCCTGTGTTGCCACTGCACCCTGGTATCTCCTCTCTGCTTCTCTATCATGTAAAATGTTCATTATTCAAAGTTCAGTGCAGATTTCCCAGCCTGTGGTAAGCTATGGCTTCCAGCAGTCTTGGGGCTTCCCTTTTCTGGAAGCAGGGAGCTCCCCACACCGAACCAGTCCATCTGAAATGGGGGCTGGACTTTCTCTTCTGCCTTGCAGATTTTCCTGTATTACTTGGCTATGAGGCATCAACTACCTACCTGATAACCATCACCCAGTGTCCCCTGGTTTATTCACTAGAGATTGCTGTAGAAGGGGCCTGCGTGTCCTCCATTATTTTCCTTCTTGAATTTCTTGATTTTGATGGCTAATGGCCACTAAAGTAGGAAGATGAAGTTTTGAGTCAGATGTGATGCGGAGCAGCAGAACTGGCTGTGGTGTAGGAGGATATTGTGTCTGCAGTTTGCTGTCTGCTTCAACTGTCTCACAAAAAAAGAAAACTCTTAGAAGTTACAAATGTATATAAACTTACAACATTTTGCAAAAGTAGAAAAGTCATATTTATAAATATCTCAGTTGAGAAGTGTAAACAGAGAACTATTTTCCCTTTGAGACAGGTCACAGGAAGCCCTAGCAGTCTTAAACTCACTGTGAAGGTGAGTAGCCTTGCACTCCTGATCCTCCAGGCTCTGCCTCCCACCATAGTCCCCTCAGACAGAGGACTTCTAAGAAGACCCACACTAAGTTTTCACAGGCAGATGTATTTCAAAGCATGCAAAAGGCACGAGGATGCTCACAGGACAGTCTAGAACAAAGGGGCGTGAGG